TATATATATATATATATATATATATATATATATATAATGTGTTATGTGTTGTCATCATTGTATGTTCCCATACGACGGCAAAATTGGCTCGCTGCATTTAACCCATCCACCCCCGGGTGGAGCAGTGGGCAGTTATTGAAAGCACCCAGGGAGCAATTGGGGATAGGGTGTGCTGCTCAGAGACACCACAAGATGTGCAATGACTGGGGATCGAACCTGGGACTTTCGGGTCCCGAGTTGGCTGCCCTTCCTCTACCCCATCTATATATATAGGGAGGGAATGCAGCTGAAAACAAAGATCACTGAGGGGAACAATAACAGAAAACTGGGAAACCAAATAAATCTGAAATGCAATGAAAACTTAAAGATTACTCAGAATCAGAATCAGCATAATTGTCCTTGCACCGAATCACAAAGAAATTACATTTCAAAACACAAACAAACAGACATGGGGTGACGGAGATGTCTAAGGCTGCGGCCTCATGGGAGGTGGTGCCCTTTTCGTTTAGATAAGATTAACCTTAACTCTTGAGTGTCAAGTAACAAAAACAATGATGGCATGACATGAAAACAAGATTGAGAACAATCAGAATGGGAAAAACAGGAAAACCAAAATCACAAAACAGAAAAAAAACCTAGCACCTGTTATATGGAATCACCCCCCTTAGCAGCCACCTTCCCAGTTTCAATCGCCTTGGTCTTCTCTGTTCATTGTGAGATCCACTGCTACGTCCTGTTACGTTTGTTTAGTTGTGGTATCTCAGTTTAGTCATTAAATGTTTTGGCTTTTGAACCTGCCTGCTCAACAGTCTGCATCTGGATGATTTCATGAACCAACAGGTTAAAGATGACACCAATCCACTTAGGTCTTGGCCCCATCCAGTCTGAATTAAACTATTTCTCCAAACTGGGACTGAATAAAGAGCTATCAAAATCACACAAGATATTTGTTCAAAATCTTCTATCTGGACCACACATTAAAACATTTGAACTATCATATTAAGAGTTTAGGTTAAATTTTTGTTTGTTAAAGTTAATTGAAAGTGTCAGGGTTTGTTCAGATTTTAGTGTGGCATGCGTTTAATTAATTCCAGAGCTGTTACTTTTTCATTGTCTCCGTGGTTGTTTTTCAAATGAGCATGAAACGTGTAATAAAGGGATAAGCAGCAATGGACTATGGAGGGACGTTGTATTGGCATTTGGCAGCATGAGTCACGTATAAAATATGCAACTGCATTGCCTATTCAGAGGAGAAACAGAGGCATGTCCTCCTGGAGGGTTAAAATGAGGACATGGAGAAACGAGGAAGAAATAATCCAAAACCACATCCAAACAGGATCAGTGGCTGGCCATTGTGTCTCTCCCTGCTGAGAATGCGAGGTGGGGGAGAAAGAGAGAACTTTGTGGAGTTTGTTGGCCGTGGAGTCGGAGCAGAGCCGAGCTGAACAGAGAGCTGAGCCGGGCTGGGCATCAGGGGTGTCAGGGCTGAGGGGGCTGAGGGGCCAAGGTCTCCTCGCTGTGGGGGATATTAAGCCCTCTGATTAGATCTCAGGGGCCGCCCGTGGCAGACGTCTCCTTTACTACAGGCCCCAGCTCATCTTTATTTTGGCAGGGTGGTGCTCTCTGCAGGCTGCACTGCACCAATACTAAGCTGTTTGTGCAGGGAGGAAAAATAAGTTCATCCTTTACTTCCACTTCCTCCCTTTTCATTTATTTATTCTTCCAGCCTACATGTGTTCGCTTCAGCCTAATCTGAGGGTTCGCAGCCTCGGTGTTCGCAGGCAAAACAAACAAATTGGCTGTGCGAGTTGATCTAAGGCTGCAAGTTGATAGCTACTTATTTGAAGTTCAGCTTTGTCTTTATTTTAATTATCACGTGTAAGTTGTCATAATGATACCATCGTGCTCCAGCAGAACGTGCGCAATACGCTAATTAAACTGCTGTATTTGTCAAAGTCATGGGGCTTTGGAAGCAGTGCATCCTGTAGTTTTATAAGTTTGTTCCTCATGCGATGACATGAGTTAAAAAAAAAAAAAAGAAGCGCACGCATACACACAGAGAGGCGACTTTCATCAGGCACACTTTCTTCTGTTTTGTTTGTCTTAAGCACATATTCCCAATCACAATTTCCACACCAGCCCTCCCTACAGCTCCTAAGGGTGCAGGCAGACACTTCTAGCTGCAGGCTCCCCCACTTCTGAAACCTGTCAAATCTGTCCTGGGAGAGTCAGCCTTTCTCTCATCATCCAGGGGCTTATGGACCTCTCTCCATTTACCCTCCCTCCCCTACACAGCTCTCTTTTCCTCCTCCACTTCCTTCCTTTCATCTCACATCCAAACTTGCCAGTTGCAACCTTCTCGGCTTCCTTCAAGTTTTGTCTCCTTTTCTCCTCCATTTCGTCTGTCCTCGTCTACTGCCTGTAACTTACTTTTCCCTCCCCGCACTTTTCTCCAGTCATGTTGCAGAATAATCTGTCCTCGCCACCATTCTTCTGAGCGTAGATCGAGGATAATCAGGTGCGTAAATGAATGACAATCACTCTCGGCCTCCCACTGTGTTTTGGGGTCACAGGGGGACTGATCAGACTAAAACATGTGCATTGAGGGGGAATGGCCTTTTTAAAACAAAGGGTAACCTTGTTAAATGAGAAAACTCTACCACCCTGGCACCACCTAGTTGGATCAAAGTTCTGCTTTTATGTTCAGGCTCATTACGTCGATAAAAGGCATCCTTCAAATCAGTAAAAATCATGGTTTTTTTAAACGCTGTGCGTGCACACTTCTGTCACGGCTCAAATAAAGCTGAGTGCTAATAGAGCATTCAAATGATGGTAAAGAATTTAGATTTGTGTATAATTAATGTTTTAAAATACTTATACTAAGAAAAGAAAATAACAATTGTGCATATTAAGTAGATGTCTTTGTTTACTTTATTACATGCTCAGTCTTCTTCAAACCTGAAGAAAAAAATAATCAATTTAAGGCTATTTATGCTGAAAGTTCATGTAGTGCATTTACAGATTGTAAATGAATATGTAGGTATTTTTCCAGGCAAGAAGAGTTGTGCTATAAAGTCTTTTTGTAGCTTTGCATCTAGATATTTCTTGCAGAAATGTGGTCCAAGTTGGGTTAAACCTTGCCAACAGTCCTGGTTATATCAGTGTTAAGGGTCAGTGTTGTGTTGAAATGATGTCATCAGTTGGTTTATTCTGTGGAAGGAAGGGGCTGTGGGAGAATAAATAATAAAACGTTTTAGATGTACACCTATATTTGACTTTAGGGAATTGGCTTTTGCTCCATTTTGTGACTTTTGTGAGCGATCTAACATTTTATGTGTCAAAATGTTTTCAATGATTTAAACTTAAGCTAAACTACAGCTTGACATTTTGTTTTTATAGACATGCTTAATCTAAGTAGCATGACAGCAAAGTCAGATATGAACGCTTTGCGCATAGTTTTGTGTTTTAACTTTGTTGGCTTTGCTATTTTCTAGAGCTCTAAAAATAACTTCTACAACTACAAAAGTCATAGATGGACAGACACACTTGATACAAGATGGCTGCCAAAGATAATCGACTTTACGGCGCAAGGTGAAAGTAGCCTTCCTTGAAGGAATTCATATTGCTCACAGCCTTGCATGTCAAAGTTTTAAAGATAAATTTTGACAGAACTGTTCCCTGCTCAGGGTATTAGATAAGGATTACTCTCTGCTACTGCCACACAAAAATAGAGCTCGATGTCTGTAAAACTGATGGAGTTAAAGTCATTTTTGTGTTTGCTCAGGTTGATTAGCTGGGTTGACCATCTTGAACTGGATCAACTCTAAACGTTCATCGGTTGTAGAATAGAATAGAATAGAATAGAATAGAATAGAATAGAATAGTCTTTATTGTCACTTTATGGTTCATATAGAGACACAGAGAGCCGTCATATTTTGATGCATCTGCAACATCTATCAAAAACAGAACAAAAAATGTAGTTTACTAAACAACAATGCTTAAAGGTAATTTAAAGCACAGTCAAACTAAAAAAAAAAATAAAAAAATACATACAGTAGTCCCTCACTACTTTGCGGTTCGACTTTTGTGGACTCGCTCTTTCGCGGTTTTTCAACGACTGCCAACTTTAAATTACTCATGTGATTGGGATGGTATGGGATAAAAAGTTAATGGAAAAAAAAATACTTCGGGCAGGCACCTCCATTTTGTAATTTTCTTTCAATAAGCCTACACTGTAATGCCAGTCAAAAGAACTACACTACCCAGAAGCCAACAGTGCTTCCAGCCACTGCTTTCTGCCAAAAATGGAGGGAAAGTTGTGGTCCAATCTGAACCTGACTAAAAAGTTTGGTCATTCTTAAAAGTGATTTTGGCGCTCAGTGGATGCAGAGAGCCATACAGAACTGACTGGAATTGAACCAGGACTACTTCCAGCCTCATCGGTCAATCTGAGTGCTGCTTGCCGGCCCAAGAAGCCTCTCGAGTGGGGAGGCGTTGCTTAGAGGTCCGGTGTCTTCTACGGAGTGCACCCTGACTTTTTTTTATTTGGATCCCTCTGGATTATTTGGACTCTATCGGGACCATTGTGTGGTTTTGTGCTGGCTCTCCAAAGGTCCGGCTCTTACCAAAAGCATCTGGTGCTCAACGGCTGCAGAGAGCCGATCAGAACTGGACCAGAACGGGACCAAGGCTGGTGAGTACACATATAACATTTTGCAGTAGCTAGTACAAATATGTACTGTATGTTGTTAAAATGACGTAGGTTTAAGAGTTTAGAACATTGCAAAAGTGTGAGAAGGGTTTATAAAACCTTAACATGTGTATAAATACTAAAATAAATGTAGCGTTCCTACTTCGCAGATTTTCACTTATTGCAGGGGTGTGTGGAACGTAACCGCTGCGATAATCAAGGGGGGGAAAAAAAATTCCATTCATATAATTCCACATCAGGAATCACAGGACTTGTGCAATCTTATGACCCAGGGAATAAAAACTGTTTTAAAGACTATTTGTAGATGTACGTAATGATTAAATTGAGTTTCATTAAAATCCGTCCAGTGGTTCACAAGATATTTTACTAAACAACAGACAAAGAAATACAGACATACACATGTAGACAAGACAGTTTACATGATCGCCCACCTCTCATGGCGAACGTTTGCATGTTTTGTCTTTGCCAAACAAGTCTAAATTAGTGTTAAATTAGCCAAATTGGAGGTAAATCCGTTCCTGCTTCTGTGCTTCAGACTCAGCCTAAATAAATATATTCAAGGACAGCTGTCAGCCAATCTCTCAATTGCTCTGTTTCCTTCAAGTGCGCTGACTTCAGATTAGTCTGCGTGTCCCCTGCATCCCCAACAGAGGGAGGCCTTTCAGTTCGTCCTATCCTCTCCACCGCAGGCCTTCGCCCAGCTGTCTGTCTGCCTCTGCGACCGCTGTCCTGAGGGTGCACTCTGTCTCTCCCTCCTCCCCTGTCTCCCTCCCAGCATCCCCTTCTCTCTCTCTCTCTCTTATGAGTTGTGATCGATATGGACGCAGAGGGAGGGGGGGGGGGGGGGGGGGGGGGACCTGTCTGTCAAAGACAGCAGTGGAAAATGAAGGCTCAGATGAAGGAGGCATGCTCTGTATATTAAATGCCTGCAACCCTGTGAGGGGTGGAGGGAGAGGAGATATGGGGTGGGGTTGGGGGGGAAATATCAATAAGCTTCTTCTAAAAGAGAGATAAGGCCAAACCCGACATGCAGAGCAGAGGGAGGGGAGTGGAGAATGAATAAGGAGCTGTGAATGGAGGTGGACGAAAATATAAGAAACCCGATGCAAAACGTGAACTAATGATGAAAAATGATGTAACAAGTAGAGAAGAGACAAATGAGGTTTTTGTTAATGCAATGGGTGGACAGAATTTGAGTTGGGAGGGGTTGTGTGCAGGAAGTTTAAGGGGGAAACACTGGACCCAAAAAGTGTTATAAAGAGTAAAGAGCTGAGAAGGGAGAAAGAGTGAAGAGCTGAAGTTAACGACTTTGCAGATTTCATTATAGAGATAGTTAACCCTGTTGACACTGAAGGAGGGCGCTATTCTCTCCGGAGGAGTCCGGTCCTTCCACCTCCACGCACAGAGACAGATGAGATCATTACAGCTATCAGCACCACTGCCATCCACAATTAGCACATCTCCCTTTCTTTCCACAATCCTCCATCCCCCATCTCCCCTCAGCTCACACTGTCTTCCACCCCCTCTCTTTTTCTTTCTTCCCCCTCTCACCTCATGACACTTCCTTGGCCTTGATTTGGAGGCAATTTGACGAAACAAAAAAGCCACATGCAGCAAACTGCTATAAGCTTTTTTTTTTCTTGACCTTTCCAAACTCATTTAGAAGCCATCTGCCTGGTTTTACTCAAAAGATTCTAGGCGCTCTGTTGACATTTTTAATTACTATTAATTTTTTTGTTTGTTTGTTTAAAATAATTTTACTGGATTGTAAATTCAGAGTAGACACAAGTACAAACCTGTAAAGCAGACCGGACACTTGAAGGTTCCCCCCATGCCCTCAAAGCTGTGCTCAATCAGGTGGCATTGAAGCTTCGCTGGTGAGTCGAACGACTGACTACAGAGCTTGCATTCATGGTTCAGTCCTTCCTCTGTGGAGGAGAAACAACACAAACACAGAAAACCATGAGAGGGAAAAATAAACAGAGTGTGAACGGCCAAGGAGCAGCAAAGGTCCAACTCTGCCTCGCCACCTTTTCACCCTCCCCTCTTCACATGAAATCCAAATCCTACAAATGTACTGTACGACAAAGTCTCCTGTCTGTGATTTTTATGAATCAAACAGTGCGATCTGCTCTCATCAGGCGTAAATCGGGTGACCAGCCGGGGTCCTAATTGCACCGAGAAAGAACATTTTGAACATCATTTTTGTAATTAACGTGCAGGAAAAAAAAACTTTATTCTTAGAAGCTGTAACTTAAATAACTTTCATGAAAGTCTTAAAAATAGAGGAAAGGGTAATTTTGCACTTCGCAGAATACACACTAAAAATCAACAAGTACTATTTTTAATATATATTTCCTATAGAACGTTAACGTTAACACTTTTAGAAAGATGATGGTTTATTAGCAGACATTCCCATATGTTTCAAACATTTATAGACACAGCCATGGCCATTGACAACTTAAATAAATGTCCCAACTGTAGACCTGCACTGCCATTTGCATGCACAACAAACCTGCTGATTCAGACTTTTAGAAAAGTGCCCATCTCCAGAGTGTCAATAAAAGGCCTTTACTCTCTGCCACAGAGCCAGACTGCAAGCTATCAAACGCCTGTCAAGCCTGACATCAAGTGTGGGGGCAGGGTGGATATACCTCAGGGGACTTATCCAGGGTTTATCCCCAGGTCTCCACAGCCCAGTGCCCACCACGCAGGCCCTGGGTACCAGAAGCATGTCTGCACAATCTAGCTGAACAGCTGTGCATGGCCAAGTCCAAGCAGAAGGTTTATTGCAGGTGCTTTAGGGCAAATCTGGCAAAACAAATCAGCGGAAAACAAGGAAACAGTAGAACTGAATATAAGAGGCTTGTAATTCTTCGCTGTTGGATCCTTTAGTCTTCAAACCAATACCCTGCCCTGAACATACATTTCCTGTTATGTACACACAGCATTATATTTGCCTGTTCGTGATCATATGTATATTTCTTATTTATTTTTATTAAATCTGAAGGTTTATTTGACACAGAACTGCTGCAGAATGAAGCTGATTGTATAAAAAATAAAAAAACAGGTAGTGTCTCTGTTTCTGTACATACAAACTGATGTTGAATAGTAGTGACAACTGCAACCCAATGATCCCCAATACTCCAGGAAAAGAAGGAAATGAAAACATATCCTGCAGTGCCAAAAGAAACAGTGGGAGAGCATACACGCTGAACATCTTACCTTCACACGTTTGGCAGTTTTATCCCCCTTAAATCTTCAAAACCTATAGCTTAAAAGTGACTATCGCACAAGAGTGTTTGCTACATAAAAACTGGACATAAGCAGTTTATCATGACAAGCTCACAGCCAACGTTTCTGCATGACTGTTTTGCAAAAGGTAAAAGCCGATCAAAGCTGCTCAGAGTGAAGGGAGCAGGATGTTGTTGTGCATTTGACAGATGAGCTACTCTTTACCCTACATGTGCATTTGAGTGTAGCACTGCCAGGTATCAGGGAAGGGGGGAGACAAGGGCAGCGTGATTGCGTCCATGCAGCCGTACGAGAGGATCACTGTCCTCTTTGATCACTGCTTGGTTTCCTTATCTGTGTGAGGGTGTGCACTATAAGGTCAAGCTAGCTGCAACAGTGCGAGATCCGTTCCTCCACCATATGTGCAGCCCGCAGTTGACCCCAGTGCACCAGGTTGTCCCTTCGAGACATGGTCTGCTTCATTATGCAGATAACGCTGCACCTGCCTGACTGACCTTGCATGAGTGGATGTGTGTGTTTATGTTGGTAAGCAGGTGCATCGGCGAAGACGGAGCTTTAATGTCAGAATATTTCACATTTAAAGGATAAGGCTGGTGTTTTCTAACTATGTTTGAACATGGAGACAACTATTCTTGCTCACCTTACTTACTCAGAAAGAACAACACTCGATAGCAGGAGAAGATTTTTAACTGGTATTTATTTACTTGCAAGGTCAGATTTTCAGGACAGGTTACATAAATAAACATAAGGTATACACATGAAAACCAGTCACAAGAATCTGCACTTTTATATCCTTATCAGTTCAGCCGAGTTCACAGAGCCCAGGAGGTGTCCTTGGCTGCTTCGTTCAGCTCCTCATCTAGCTCTCACCGCTAACTCAAACATATGGTTCATGGGCAGAGAAGGTTCTCTGTCATAGCAATAAAAACATCCATGACCTCTGACCAAAAATTCCCTAATAGAACATCTTTTGACAACTTCAGGATACTATTATCATTAGAAACAAGTTAACCTAAAACATATTTTGTTCTGGAACTGATAGTTGCTGTTAGAATCATGCCATATGATTTGTTATTATTATTCTTGTGAAATTGGAATATTTTCAGTTCAAGATGCTAACTTAAACGTCAAGACAACATTTAACTGTGACTTACAGCCTTAATTTCAGTAAAGTGGCCTGAATCAAGCTGGCAGTGTGGTTCTTACTGAGAGCCAGGGGAGGAAGTCAGCTTTTGCACCCCTATAGCTGCCTCACTGGGCTGAGGTCACTTCCTGTTGCCCCCCCAACCCTACTCCTGGGCCGCCCAATCAGCATGGTCCTGCGTGGGCCCCCACCCCTCTCCAAGCACTGAGCAGACTCTGGATATAGTTACAGGGCCACGGGGGACTGTCAGCTCACTCTCTATCCTCATCTCTCCCTCCTCCCACTCAGTTTTTCCGAGTCTCCCGAGTGTTTCTCCTCCGCCACCACCTCGTCCCTCTGCACTCCTAAGAAAATCCTTTAGATGAGAACTGCTCCTGCGTCTGCTCCCTCTAAGCATCCCTGACACCAGCAAAGTAAGCCCATCTGCATATCCACAGGGCCTCGCGTTCCTGTGGCTCATGGTTTATGTATTTCACAGCTCCTTAAAACACAAACGCCTAATATCTCTCCCATGTGGAGGACAGGAGAGGGAGAGGAGAAAACTACTTTCTCAAAGAATGGTCTTTATTTCTCAGTGCTGTTTACCTTTTTGTTATATCCAGGCTCAAGTTCATGTGTGGTTGAAGGTTGTTTGGGATGCAGCGACTAGCAGGTCTGCCTTGTACAGTTTAGTCAACCACACCTGTAGTTTACTGAATTCTGTCAGAGCCAGACTGAGTTCAGGAGATGTTTTGGAAATGTCGAGCCGTTACAAGACAGTGAGTAACAAAGCAAAACTAAAGTAACTAAAGCCAAGTTTAATTTGAGATAATAGCGTGTAATTAAGTATGACGCAGGGCATTTCTTAATTAAAAAATCCTCCCTCAGCCCATTCTGTTCCAACGCCACCATTGCCCCTCACTCAATTTAAACAATTCTTCTGAGGAGCAGTTTGAATTGGAGCACTTAGTTTTGCGCAAGAAAAATCTGATACTTAGATTTCAGCTCTTCTCTGGGGCATAGTGAATGGTTCTCTGAAGCTCACTATTAGAGGGACCCCGGTCGCTTGTGTCGATGATATTAAGGACATCAATCTGAGCGCTTCTTTGGCCGAGAGTAATGAGCAACCAAGTGGGAGAACAAATTGAGAATATTTAGTTGACTGGAAATGGGTTGTTTTTGAAGACAAAGCAGGAACAGTAATCGAAGCTTGTCTTAAACTAACAGGCCACCATACAGGGTATGAAAACTGTCAAACGTTGCCATAACAGAAAGGAATACCTGCATGGATTGAGCAGGTTTATGAACGCATTTGTTTTAACATCTGACTGTGATTTTTTTTCGGTCTGATGTTGGGAGTTATGTGTTAATAAACAAGGGAGCGTTGGTGTTTGCTGCAGCGTATATACGACCCAACTACAGGATGCTGTACGGCAGCAGAAGAGACAGCTTCAGGCCTGTAAACAGTAGGTGGGTTTACTTCGTCTTTTCTCCACGGGAACTATCCATTAACAGATAATGGGGGAAAAATCTGAGTGATTAAGGCCCAGGGAATTATGGGTGAATACAAATTGACTCCACCTCCGTGCGGTATGCTCTCTTGAGGTAGAAGCACTGCTCATAAGGCACAAGCTCATTTCAGAAGTACTATGAGGCCCATTAAGGATATGAGAATGCAGCGCATGGGGGTAGGAAGGTGATAGTTGGGAGCGCACAGGAATGGACTCCCCCTGGACCTAAGCTGATTGGAGGACTGGCACCTGGGGGGAACATTACTAATATGTATTTCCTGCCTCCACTGTTTAAGAAGGACAGAGTGAATTTAATGCAAAATGTTGAAACTGAAGTACTGAACTTAATCATGGCATTGCAAAAATTCCATCAAAAGGTAATTTATTATACATACAGTCAGGAAAATAAGATTGTGTGCAGGTAATAAAATGAAAGATACAGGAGGACTGCCACAGCAGGAAAGGGAAAAAAAAATCTTTGCTCATGTTAGGAAGAAGACAAGTAAAAGGTATTTGATATGTCTAAAGAAGAATAGTAAGCATAAAATGGCTGCAAATCCCCCATGTTAGTGTCTGAAACATTGGAGTATTTCCAAGAAAGAATAGTTAAGTTGTGACATGTCAGAGGAAGTGACGCCCTCGCACAGCAAGAGCAAAGGATTCTGGGAGAATGCGACTGAGACAATGTCAGCTCTGATGCATGGCAGCTTGTCGGAGGTGCTAATCAGAGCAGGACCGGGCTCCTGCTTGGATCAGACGCTCGGTGCCTACATTAACCGCTTCACAGCTCCCCTGGCTACTGGGCCAGAGGTAGAGGCACCGAGGTGACAGGTTTTTGTGTTGAGATAAACATGCGTAACGCTTGAATAAATGTTACAAAGGATTTAGCCAACTAGAACACCTTTTGGAGCCCACAAAACATGGGGGAGAAAATCACGAGGACACTTTGCTCTGCTCTGTAAACAAACAAAGCAATTTTTCTTTTTCCATTTTTTGTTTTTTTTGTTTTGCAAAATGCAAAAATAAAACATTAAAAACA